ATCCTTATCCCGCGACTTCTCATACTTCCTCCGTCTTCTAATGCCTGTTCTCCCCTTTGCCTACATCAATTAGTTTCTCCACGTCTGGAGATTTAAATCCCTTCTCCCCACAGCACCGCTTCCCCCCATCTTTTCCTTCCCCAGAAAAGGGTGATTGATGCCCGACGTTATATGATAAGGGACAAGGACACTTGGTAACCAACTTTTTGCAGTCGACTCACCACCAATCCACCAATCATCTCCGCTTCTCCAAGTGTTACCTCCCCAGTAAACGCCTCCCAGCAATAAGCAAAAAATAAGCCTGCAAGACTAGGGGGCTGGCGTGTTGAAGGTTCCCGCTCTATGATTGGTTCTGCCCGAGTCTCCGTCTCCAATGAGAAGCCCATGTTGTTGCCAGGCGGAAATGACGTATCACGTTAGGTTGAACAGTTAAAACCTGGAAAGTCGCTGGTCGATATAAGCCAGGACAGAGCGGACCTTTGCAGGGTGCAAAAGACAATTCTTTCTTCGGACCAAGCACCCCTGCCGTTCTTCATTGCAAAAGCCAATCCCTGTATTTTCCTGTTACTGTGAAACCAATGAATCCCGCGAACCCTTTTAGAACTCCTACTACGGCACCAATGAATCCCGCGAACCCTTTTAGAACTCCTACTAAGACACCAATGAATGCCGCGAACCCTTTTAGAACTCCTACTAAGACACCACGTCATACTATCTTTACAAAATGTACATAACAGTATAACCTGAAAAGAGAAAATGATTACAGAACTAAATTTTGCAACTAAGGAATCCAGCCCCAGAAGGAAATTCCTGGTTCAAGGTCACACAGTAAGTTAGCTCCAAATTCACCACCCCACCTAGTTGGAATTTGCTGGGCAGAGGCAAGAAAGTGATCCTAGGATCAAAACTGGAAGGGTCCTCAGAAGTCCAACCACTTTATTTTATAGAAGAGAAAACTGTGGGGGCAGCTAGGTGGCCCAGTGGATAGAGCACCAGTCCTGGAGTCACAGGGACCCAAGTTCACATCCAGCCTCAGATACTTAACACTTAGTAGCTGTGTGACCCTGGGCAAGTCACTTAAGCACACTGCCTAGCCAAAAATAAAAACCAAAACACATAAACATTTATATATGAGATATATAGATGTGTGTGTGTGTGTGTGTGTGTGTATATACATACATATATATATGTATGTATATACACACACATATATAGGAAGGGAGGAAGGGAAGGGAGGAAGGAGAGAAGAGAGACAAAATGAAAGGAGGGGGAGGGAAGGAAAAGAGAAAGGGAGAGTGGGAAGAAAGAAGGGAGGGTGGGAAAGGGAAGAAATATGGAAGGAAGAAGTAGGAAAAGGACGGAGGGAAAGCTATGGTAGTGATGCCATCCTGGTCTAGTACTTTGGAGTGCTCCTCTCCTTATACCATTTTGTATCTTTACCTTCAAGGACAGGCAGTGTGGTACAATGCAAGAAATCACTGGACACAGAAGTCATCACAAGGCTACTTCGGTCCCATCTCTAGTACTCACTGCTGTGCAAACCTTAGATAAATCATTTCACCCTTCTGAGCCTCACTTTTTCCATCTGTAAAATAGGAATAATAATACCTGTCCTGTCTAGCTCAAATGTAATAATGTATATGAACAATTACATAATGTAGGTTATTACATACTCCTTCTATCTAACTAAAGTCTCTCACTTTCATTTCTTTTATCATTACAAGTGAACCACAGAGGTAAAACTACCCATTTTTACTACCACCACCTTCCCCACCCAAATCCAGGAGTGCAAAATTCACTAAACTGTGCACTTCTCCCATCTCTACTCTGCCAACCCTCAAGATGAACTCTCCATTAAATTCTTATCCATTGTCCATAGGACATCTTCCTATTACCTACCTGTCTCAATTCCAAGACCCATTTCTCTGTCTTTGCCATGACTCTTTAAGGCCTCAGGAAACAAGAGGATCTGGTACTGCCATCTCTTTGAGGACTTGCCACATTTTGTTGGGACCCACACAGGTATATGTTTTTTCCTGCAACTCTCTTTTTTTCTCCATAACCCAGCAAATGTTGGCAATTTGGCCCAGCACATAGTAGATGCTTAATAATACTGACTGACTAACAAACATTTAATAAATACCTACCATATGAAAGGCACTTTGCCAAGACAGTGAGACAGTGAGACTCTTCCAGTGGCTTCTAAACTAACCAAAGTGCTCCTTTTTCAATTAAAAGGATCTATAAACCTCTCTCATATTCCCAGTCCCCAGGAACTATTCTCTTTACTTGACCTCTGAGTCACCTAAGAGTCCATTTTTCTTCAGTTATTTTTCTGGTACTTTGGCATTTTCACTTCCCCAAGGCTCTAAAGCCTCCATCACTGAAAGGAAGTAAATGCCTGGAAGGAAAAGATAAATGACATGGGCAGAAGCAGAATTCTTTTTTAGAAATATTAACAAATATTTTAGAAATATTAGCAAATACTGAGCCCTGCTACGTACAAGACATTGACCTAAGAGCTAAGGGGAATACAAAAGATGAAGCAAGACAGTCTCTGCCCTCTGCCTTACAACCCAATGGGAAGAGAGGAAGAATCATAACATATTTAGAGTTGAAAGGGACTTAATGTCCCTCAAGTCCTACTTCCTCTTTTGAAAGACGAAACTGAAGCACAGAGAAGTTAAGAAGAAGCCCAGGATCACACAACTAGCAAGTTTTTGAAGCACTGTTTGAACCTAGGTCTTCCTGACTCCAAGTCCAGTATCCTATCCACCATAGGACATGCCTACAAATAACTATGATACAAGGCACAAAGTAATAAAGATGGAAGAGAGATCCAGACAAAAACCTCTAAGAAATCAAAGGAAGGGTAGACTATTTTTAGCTGGCCAGGGTCCCCAGGAGGCAGGGAGGAGGTGGGAGAGGGGCAAGTATAGGGGGAGCCACTGTGCTCTCCAAGAAGGAAGGACAGGAGCTCAGATTCCTTAAGAGTCTGGCAGACAGCATGGATTCTTAAAATCTCACCCAACCCAAACTGGTGTCCTAATAAACCTTGTCCTGGGCTGGGAAAGAAGGAAGAACAGGAGCTGCTAGGTGGTGTACAGCACTGGAGTCAGGAGCACCTGACTTCAAATCCAACCTGACACGTAACACTCACGAGCTGCGTCCCTGGGCGAATCACTTAACCCCACTGCCTAGCCAAAAAAAAACAAAACAACCCATTAGCCTTGATTTCTCATTACTGCCTTTCCGCTCCTGCCAAAGGTCATCTATTCCCCCACACTTCCCATCTATTCCCATTCCCAGTGTCTATGCCTAGGGTCACCAAACCACAAAGACGGCAGCCACGCTCATTTCCATTAACATATCACCTAGTCCTAACCCCTTTCCCGGACCAAGATTTGCGGCCATGCGCAGTCCTTCCCACCCCTCACGTCCCTCTAGTTTCCCAGCCAATAGGCCAATCGTCGCTCCAATCGTCGCTCTTACTCCTGGTACAGCACCGCCTTAGCGCGTCACTCCCAGACAGGCGGCCCATCCTTATCCCGCGACTTCTCATACTTCCTCCGTCTTCTAATGCCTGTTCTCCCCTTTGCCTACATCAATTAGTTTCTCCACGTCTGGAGATTTAAATCCCTTCTCCCCACAGCACCGCTTCCCCCCATCTTTTCCTTCTCAGAAAAGGGTGATTGATGCCCGACGTTATATGATAAGGGACAAGGACACTTGGTAACCAACTTTTTGCAGTCGACTCACCACCAATCCACCAATCATCTCCGCTTCTCCAAGTGTTACCTCCCCAGTAAACGCCTCCCAGCAATAAGCAAAAAATAAGCCTGCAAGACTAGGGGGCTGGCGTGTTGAAGGTTCCCGCTCTATGATTGGTTCTGCCCGAGTCTCCGTCTCCAATGAGAAGCCCATGTTGTTGCCAGGCGGAAATGACGTATCACGTTAGGTTGAACAGTTAAAACCTGGAAAGTCGCTGGTCGATATAAGCCAGGACAGAGCGGACCTTTGCAGGGTGCAAAAGACAATTCTTTCTTCGGACCAAGTACCCCTGCCGTTCTTCATTGCAAAAGCCAATTCCTGTATTTTCCTGTTACTGTGAAACCAATGAATCCCGCGAACCCTTTTAGAACTCCTACTACGGCACCAATGAATCCCGCGAACCCTTTTAGAACTCCTACTAAGACACCAATGAATGCCGCGAACCCTTTTAGAACTCCTACTAAGACACCACGTCATACTATCTTTACAAAATGTACATAACAGTATAACCTGAAAAGAGAAAATGATTACAGAACTAAATTTTGCAACTAAGGAATCCAGCCCCAGAAGGAAATTCCTGGTTCAAGGTCACACAGTAAGTTAGCTCCAAATTCACCACCCTACCTAGTTGGAATTTGCTGGGCAGAGGCAAGAAAGTGATCCTAGGATCAAAACTGGAAGGGTCCTCAGAAGTCCAACCACTTTGTTTTATAGAAGAGAAAACTGGGGGCAGCTAGGTGGCCCAGTGGATAGAGCACTAGTCCCGCAGTCAGGTGGACCCAAGTTCACATCCAGCCTCAGATACTTAACACTTAGTAACTGTATAACCCTGGGAAAGTCACTTAACCCCCATTGCCTAGCCCAAAACTTCAAAAAAAAAAAAAAAAGAAAACTGAGGCCGATGTCAAGAGGGGAGATTTCAACCTAGGTCTTCCAGACCCTACACTATACCAACAATTCTTAAACTTTTGGGGATTAGGTCCCAGATACACTCTTAAACATTACTGAGCCCCACCCCACCCCAAGAGTTTTTGTTTATGTGGATTATATCAATATTTACCATTTTAGAAATTAGTATTATGAAGAGTTTTGATCCTTCAGGTCCCCTGAAAGAGATCTCTAGCGGCTCCCAGACCACACTTTGAGAAACACTGTAGTACACCATTGTGCATGTTAAAAATACAGAATATTTTCCAAAGCTCGACTGAAATTACTTTTTCATTACCCAGTTGATTTGACAAATATTTATTCAGCACTAGTAATGCAGTGTATCTAGCACTGTGGATATGCGAAACATGGCCCCTGCCCTCCATAGCTTACAGTCTAGTGGGGGGGGGAGAATATGTACACAGGAAATAATTAGTAATACAAGATACTACCAGAGAAGTGCCACCACATGGTACATACAAGAAATCACGTCAGGACAAAAGAAACGACAAAGTCACTGTGGGCAAGAGTAATTGAAAAAGACCTCTCAGAAGAGATGGGCTCTCAAAGACTTTGACAGGCAAAGGAAGGGAAAAGGACATTCCAGGCCTGGGGGACTACTGGATGGATTAGTAAATAGTGACTCTGGTGCTTCAGGAGGGTGCAGAGACATCAATTAGAGTAATTTGGCCGGAGCAGAGCTTGTTTGGGATCATTAAGTCATGATATTGGGTTGAATAAGCACAAGATTGCAGAAGACATGAATGTTAGATTAAGGAGCCAGGATTTTTCCCCCGAAGGAGGTAGCTAGCCATTTTCTTCCCTTCTCTTGCTGCAGAGAATGGAGATCTGATTGTGGACCTCTGAGGCACCTTGCCATCCTTCCCTTATCCCTTCTTAAGGAGAAGGGAAGGATCTGGACTGAAACTGCATGAGAGGGAACTAGCGGACAAAAAGTTAAGGCCTTATTGGAGGAGCTCAGAGTCAGGGTTGGAAAAGCACCAGAGACCAGGGGCATGTCTATATACAGGCAAAAACAGAGCACTGGCCTTTGAGGTGAGGTGGGATGCCAGACCCAGTCACAGGAATAAGAGACTCTGGGCTCAGTCACATACTCAAAAGAATAGATTCACAAAGGTGATTTATTGATCTTGATAATTTTCCCAAAGTCAAATGGGTCTATGTACACATCAGGACATCAGGACTTGAGGTCAGTACCTTGACAACCATTACGAACCTCACCTGCAAAGCCCAGGACCAGCACAGAGTATGAACTTGGGTCAGGACCTCACTCAAGGGCTTCACATAAATCAAAATGTAGTAAGAGAAATGGATCCCCACTAGCACCTGGGATCCATGGAGTCCCTTTCCCTTCTTCAGACATCTTAAGAGCCCCTCAGTCTGAAAGAAACCCTAGGGACTTTCCATTTTATTCCATACATCATATTTTCATTTACATTTTGAAGAAATTATCTCTTTACTACATGGAGGAAGGCTGACTGGGAGAGAGGTGGGGTTTAGAACCGAGGGATAAGAAGCAGCTAGCCAGTCAAGGGTAAGTGGTTATTATGGGAAAGGGGAGAAAGCACAGTACAGGAAACTAGAGAAATAGACTTTGCAAGACTCTTGGGTTTTATCATCAATATCACCTAGAACTCCAATGGCATTGGGAATGACTTTGGGGGAAGAGATATCGAACAAATGGAATTCATGGCTAGAGTCTTGGTGAAATTTATCACCTCATGGAGAATGGAGACCATCAGAAATGTCATAATTAGGACAGTTCAAGTTGTAGAACTAGCCCTGGTGAAAGTCTACATGGGGGCCATAGAAACTAAGGACATAAGGATTGGCAGTAGGCACAGAGACCCTCCTCTTTCTTACTCCTGATATCCCCCCTCAATGAATCATGTTCATTCCCAGGACTATTTGCCCCCCTGAAGGGGAACCAAAGCACTGAAGCAAGGGAGGGCCAGAGAGAGGATCTATGTATGTGTATCTCTTTCAGGGTTTCAGAACAAGACTTGTTCCTGGCCAATTTAGCCAAAAGAAGGGAACCAAACGCCTTGTAAAGGATGCCGAGAATGTGTAAATAAGTTCCTGTGATTCTGCATTAGTGAAGGTCACTGTACCCCCATCATAATCTAGAGCAATCCCTACTCTTCTGGGTCGCTGGGCAAGGAATAACTCTGCTTCGGGATTGGTGTTAACCCATACACCAGCAGCTGACAGACGCAGAGCCCATACCCCATCCTCAGGGCTTAGGCGGAGCTCCCCCTTCTTCCTCACACTGTCTCTGGCAATACCCACCAGACAGGACTCCTGAACAACGTCATCCTCTTCCAAATCATCTTCATCTTCATCTCCACCTGATTCATCATCCTCATCTGTCTCCCAGTCCTCCTCTCCTTCCCCATATCCATTTTCTTCTTCTTCTTCTTCCTCCTCTCCTTCTTCTTCTTCCTCCCCTTCCTCTTCCCCCCATCCTTCCCTCTCCACTACCACTTCCCAATAGACTTTGCCCCAAGTGAAGCCCTTACTACCCAGAACTGCAGGTTCAGGATCAAACTGCTGGGGGTGTTGGTATAGACTCTGATACATGTTGGTAAAGGACACACACTTCCAGTCCTCAGACAATATAAGGTACCCACTGGCGGTCTGGGGGTCCAAAGTGACGTTCACTGTGGAGATAAGAGGGAAAAATGGTAGGGAAGGGAAGAAAATAAGGAGAGGGGTCTGGGAGTAGCAGTTCCACAAGATTCAAGGCCATCCCAACAAGAACCCAGCAAAAGAGTCAGAGACAGAGATGGCATTTGGTATCTGGCCTTGGGCCAAACTGTCTCCCTTTTCCAGACATAATGATACCATGCAGATTATATGAAAGTCAGAAATGGGGAAAAAAATTAGGAAGGGAGAGGAACAGGAGACAAAAGTCTATGAAGAAAGAAGGGGACCTGAATAATTAAATATGAATAAAAGAATGCTGTGGGCAAAGGGAGATCAGGGTATAAGGGGAGAGCAAATTATGGTCTATATGTTTCTTGGGCAGCAGGATACAGAAGGCGGGATTCACTGATCCTCATCTCAGACTTTTTCAATGGGAGGGATTTAGTTTAAACGTGAATAATGGATTACACTTGTGTAATACTTTACCATTCATGTAATCTTTACATATATAATGTCATTTAATGATATATGTAAGGGCATTCTGAGGAAAGAACTGTTTGCCACAGAAAGGGATTACTAAGACTGGCTGTGGGAGCTTTGTGTAAGAAAAATTTTCTTTATTTGATGACATCCTGGACACTCACCTGTCTTATATTCCAGGACTCTTAGCAGCTTCCCTGGTGGAGAAGAAAGAGACAATGATGAGATTCTGATCCGAGAACTTGAGAATAAGGGAGGAATGAAGGTGGGGGAGGGAGAGGTTCTACAGCAGAGTAATAGAGCATTTAAAGTGGCATAGCCCAGGAACCACCAAAGAGAGCAGGGAAGACATCCTGAGTTTGATAACAAGGCCAGAGAGACTATGATGAGAATCAGAAATCGGTTAAATATCTGGGGGGAAGGGACACTATCTAAGTTTCCCTCCACATCCGACCTTTACCTTGGAATTCCCTCAGGCCTTTTCGCAAGGAATGAAGCTTATCAGAGAATTCTCCAGTTCTTTTCCTAACAGCTGGAGCAACAGGTTTCCCACTCCAGAACTTCTTCCGTGGATACCTAAGAAGAAGATGAACGTAAAACAAGTCATCCCCACTGCTGGTGGAAACTTTCCTGAGGGTTGGGACATTTCCCTCACATCAGGAGTAGTTGGAAAAGGCCTTCTGATGAAACTATTTCAGAAACGACAAGGCCAAATTTCTGCTTTGTGTGGCTCAGGATCCTGGAAGATAGCTTTCAGGGGGTTCTCAGTGCCAGAAGAGTCTTCTTTGTTCCCAGTCCACCAAGAATAAAGCCACAGAGACATGGGATGTAAGAGTAAGGGCCTCCCTTGCACCATCCATACTCTTGTGGCATTTCAAAGGCTTGTAGTTAGACAAGTGGCAAATGAAAATGAGTCAAAGACATAAGAAGGATGTGGGCACAGAGGAATGATGTACATTGTGGAAAATATGTCTTTTTACCTGTTTAGGAAGTCTCTGGTGTCCTAAAAAGAAAGGAGACACACAATGAGAGTTAACTCACAGACAAAGGGGAGAGGTTATGCATGGTTAAAAGAGCAGCCATTTAAAAACAAGAAATAGGGACAACTGACTAGAAGATAGCTCTAATCAACCAGTATTCATTACTGCCAGGTTAGAAGAGTTATGAAATAATCACTGACAACAGTGTGGTATAACAAGATTTAGAATATTCTTGGCTAGGAATTATCAAATTGCAAACTTCATGATAAAGATGGCTTTGGATCTGAATTCAAGTGGTTGGTCATAGCCAAAAAGGGATTTCCCATTCTAGGATACCTCCTTCCCTTGGAGTTTCCCCAGCTATCTCATCCATCCAGTGGTTTTCTTGTTCCATTCTCCCTCAGGCATCAGTAAATTTTGTTGTTGTTCAGTCATTTTCAGTCATGTCTGACTCCTCATAACCACATTTTGGGGGTTTTTTTGGCAATCCTTCATCAGCTCATTTTACAGATGAGGAAATTGAGGCCACAAAGAGTTAAGTAACTTGCCTAGAGTCACAAAGCTAGCAAATGTCTGAGGCCAGATTTAAACTCAGGTCTTCCTGACTTCAGGCTTGGTGCAGAGCTCTACCCACAGGACCACCTAGTTGCCCTTATATGCAAACTAACTCTTCCTAAAGGCGTTAGGGGATAAGAGTTAATAAGATCTCTTCCATGAAATATAAGATATTCCATGAGTCTCAAAGTAAGGTATAGTCAGGGGTTTAGAACCTGGGATCCATGAACATTGGTTTACTTGTATTAATGATAAGAACCTTGTTAAAACCACGTTACAGTGTGCCAGTACAAATTGCTAAAGTGAGTTTCCTCATCCAGAGGCTCCCTACACCAATAAAATCAGAGGTCCAGTCCCTAACCCTTGGCTGCCATTTTAATTTCAGCCCATGTCCTTCTACTCTATGGTCTGTAGACTGGAAACCAGTTGGCCCCACCCTCTACAGTCTGACTGCTCAAAGACAGAAATACAGTGAGCTAGTTTCTCCCTCAACCTTTTCTTCTCCTGACTAAATTATCCTTGTTCCCTTCCCCTTTCCCCTTTCCTCATACCCTTAGCCCTCTATATTATTTCTCTGTCTCTCTTCTGGCCTGGCTTCCCTCTCTCTAGATATGGGAGCAAGAGGTCACAAAAGCATCCTAACTCCTCTCACTACCTACTGAGTCAATTTCCTACTCCTTTGCCTGATATCTATGGCCCTCAACAATTTGGTGCCACCCTACCTTTCCAACTTTATCTCACAGTCTCAGCACACTCTAGATTCCAACCAAAGGGACCTACTCTACCCCCTGAATGGCCCATGCATTCTTCCATTTCCTACATTTTGCTCACATAGTTCCCCATGCATGGAACATCCTGCCTCATCCTCTTAGCTTCTTGAATTCCTACTTCCTCTTTAAAGGAATATCACCTCCTCCTCCATGAAGCCTTTCATGAACCCATTCTCTCAGTTCTATGAAGCCTGCCCTCCCCTGAAAAGCAAAAAAGAATGAATGGCCAAAAGATTCAGGGGACCTTCGTGCCATGGAATGTTAAGGGGAAAATGACACTGACATTTCTACAACAATTTTTGCTTTTTTGACATTAATAGTTACTGGTTTTCTAAAATATTATGCATTTCAAAGAGACTCTAAAATTGAGATTTTGACAATTTTTTGGCAAATCTTTAACTTGTGGATGAATAATTATGATGGTAAGTTTTCATGAGAAATACATACATTTACTCCAAGCAAATGGTTTAAATTCATGGGAACTGTTCCGTGAATACAAAGCCTATGATTTCTCAAAACAAAGAGCATAGTTAAGCAATGCCTACAATATTTTAGTTACACAAAATAAATACTTTCTCTCCCCCACAAGGTAACCCCAGTGCAGCTTCCTAACACAGGAACATGTCAGCTTACCTGGTTAATGACTGACAAAGGGTCGAAGGTAGACTCCTTGGCTATGGATAAGACCTAGTTTTCCACTAATCACAAATGAACAATTTTGGTAAGATGATACATACAAGTGTACTCTGTAACTATTAACAGGTAAAGCAGATGTTACTCACCCATTTTACAAACAGGGGAAACTGAGGTCCAAAAAGCTTAAAAAGATTTTCCAAAGGTCACAGACAAAAGTAGAGATCAGGCAGAACAAGTTTTGACCCAGAGTCTTGTCAATGATAACAATAATAACACCTCATACCTTACCTTTGTATAAAATGAAGTTTATATGCCTTATCTTATTTGCTCCTTACTATAATAACGCTATTATCCTCATTCTATATATAAGGAAACTAAGGCCCAGAAAAATGGAAAAGGAAGGGCTTGGTTTAGAACTCTTGACTCCTGGTCAAGCACTATTTCCATCAGAACAGACTATCTCTCAGGGAACTGAGGGGTCAGCTTTTCTTTAAGGAGTCTCTCACCTGCATGAGCTCTGCCGCTGGCTGCTGGGCCTTCTCCTCCAGTTCTGAGATCACATTCCCTAGCCTGGTGAGCTCCCCAGAGGCTCTGAGATTGTACTTCTCTCTCCCCTCGATAACCTCCCGCTCCAGTCCCTCAAGCCGTTCCAGGAGGTGCTGTTCACGTTCTCTCAGGAACTGATGCCCCTGGGCAAACTCTGAGGCAATGTTCTGCCTCTCCATCTGGAGTTTGGTCTACAGTGGATGAAAGTGCATACAAAGACACTGAGACAATATAAATATGAATGCCTTCCTAGGGATCATAGGATCAGAAATTTAGAGCTAGAAGAAATCTTTTATGGTCATCAAGCCCAACCCCCAATTTTACATATGAGGAAACTGAGGCCCAAACAAGTTATGTCACTTGCCTTGTTGTCATGGTTAGTGTCAGAGGCAAGATCTGAACTCAGATCTTCCTGACTCGAAGTCCAGCATTCCCACCATTATACCACAGTGCCCCACTGGTCTTGGAAAAAAGCTCAGCACAGTTCATGAGACCCTTTGTGCTTAGTCTGGTATTCTGCTTCTTCTGTCCCCACAACGGCTCAAGCCTTACTCACTTCTTTTCTCCTCATCCCAACTCAACAGAGGCAGTAGTGGGAAAAGGACCAATTCTCACATGAGAAGATAGAGGTTTGAATTCCATCTCTGCCACTTACTATCTACATGACCTTGGATATTATTCAACTTCTCCATGCCTCAGTTTCTTACTATTAAATGAGTGGACTGGATTAGATGATCTTCGAAGTCCCTAAAGTCTATGAATCACAAAACATGAGAGGTGAAAGGGGCCTTATGTAATCTCACCTAGCTATTATTATGCTGTTAGACAGAGGAGAAAACTGAAATCCAGAACCTGCCTAAAGTCAAGTAATACCGTTGATTAGTGGAAGAGCCAAGCCTAGAACTCAGGTTGCCTGACTCCTGAGTGCAATGTTCTTTCCATTAAATCTGAGTTCACTACTCTAACCAAACTAATACTCTCCTTGACTCAGATGACTGTCTCATAGCCACTGCACTCTGGCTACCACTGGGGATGCTCTCAAGGATGCCTTCCTTTAAATCAGTCCATGCCAACCTCCTTTCTAAGCAGTCCCACTCAGGTTTGCTCTCTCTCCTTGGCATTATTTCCATCATCACTTATGGCCTATTTGACTGAATTCCCATGCCTGGAATTCTTTTCCCTCCTCTTTTCCATTTCCTGGCTTCAGCCTGGCTTCCTTCAGGTCTAAAGTCCCACCTTTTGCAAGAAGCCTGTCCCAATCTCCCTTAATGCTAGTAACTGCCCTCTGTTGATTATCATCAATTTAGCCTGTAAATATCTTATTTGTATATAGTTGTCTTTACATTGTCTCCTCCATTGGCCTGTGAACTCTTTAAGATCAGAGATTGCCTTTCATCTTTCGATGTATCCCCAGCACTTACCACGGTGCTTGGCACGTAGTACGCACTTAATAAATGCAAGCTGACTGACTGAACTCACTAATCAAATTCATCTTTTCCTTCCTTTTCTTCTGAAATAATTTATTATAAATGTATATTATACATATATTAATCTGACATGTTTATTGTATCCTCTCAGCAGAAACCCAGTGAATGTGCCTAGATGTTTGGCCTGAAGACTTCACTCACCAGCAGGTGCTGAATCTCAGTTTGCCCCTTCATTTGGAAGCTCTGAACCCTCTCTTTGTCTCTCCTTAGGGTGCCCAGGTGACTCAGGATTTTTTCCTGTGGAAAAAATTAGCAGACAAAAGACAGTTGGGATCTAATTTGAGGCTTTAGGGCTAGTCTAGACTATCAAATCATTCTCATTCCAGGCTGCCTGAGTTATTTATGGTAGGGGTCCCCAATTCTAATTTGCTCAAATTCTCAAGGGGAAATACATTTTCTCATCACCCTCCAAGAGGTTGTTTGTGATCCTCCTTCTGGCTAGAAGTTAACTGAGCTAGGGACCACCAAGGCTTACCCGGTGGGGCTGGGCAGCCTTCTCAATGAGGATGGCTGTATGGTACTTGTGCTCCCTGGACTCCCGGCACATCACACAGAGGAACCGCCCATCATCCTCACAGTAATAGTGTAGCTTCTCCTTGTGCCGTTCACACTGCATCATTGTCATTGGCTCAGGTCGCTTCTCCTTAGCATCTCTCCCCTTTTCTACATTGAGTCTCTCAATATTCTGCACAAGGCTGGCCAGCTGCCAAACTGGACGAATATTATCCTTCTTAAATGTCTTTTTACAGAGTGGGCATGATGGGCGGCCACCTGGGGGTGCTCGGATATCTATGACACAGCTTCTGCAGAAGACATGGCCACAGTCGATGGTCACTGGGTCCCTCAGGTAGTCAAGGCAGATGGAGCATGTCACCTCCTCTTCCAAGGTTCTCAAGGGGGCAGAGGCAGCCATGGTGCCTGGTCCACAGGAATGATCTCTGCTCAATGGGTAGGCTCCTTTTTCCTGTATACCAGAGGATGGAATCAAGAGTATGCATGGGAACTTGTTATAGTGGCAAAGACCTACAGGGAGAAAAAGTGGGCCCACAGTGAACAGGGAAAAGCTAAACAAATGGTCATACAGGAATGTAATGAAATATTATCTGGCATAAAAAATTACAAAGATGAGAAATTCTGAAAAATATGATTAAACTTATATGAACCAATGAAGGATGAAAAAAGTAGAACCAAGAAAATAAGCAAGGTGATAACAACCAAACTTGGCCCAAGAAGACATGAGGAAATGTACCTTTCATTTGGAGATATGAGGGAATATGGAATGTTGTATAAGCTGTCAAAAGATTTTGTTCACCTGGTGTTTTTTTTCCTCCTTTGTTACAAGGGAAGGTTCATTGGGATGGGTGAGAAAAGGAGAAGTATGTTTGGAAATGACTGTGATGTAAAAATAAAAGTGTCATGTTTTAAAATTAAGGTTAACTGAGAGATAAAGTTCCAAGCATGATCAATTTGTTATAGTTAGACAAGCAGTCACCAATAAATTAGCTCAATGGCCTGTCTCAACAACCAAAGACTATAAGACAGAGCTTCACGTAGTTTTGGGAAGCAAAAGATAACAAAGAACAGGGAGTATCACAGATGGAAAACGGTAGGATTGGTCACAAAGCCCAAAGTGTGATAGTCAACAAAAACAATATGACTGACTAAACATTTGTGGCTAACAGCCCTTCAATCCTGCTATCAGGAAGGGTTGCTTGAAAGGATCTATCTGCTCATTAGCTGAACAAAGATAACAGACTTCTTGGCTCCCACCTTCATTCTGTAAGGCCTGTTAGTAGGATAACAGATCTCCTTTACTTATATTTTGGGGTGCAAGGTTTATTAGTTAGGTAACAGGCTGCCCTTACGGATACCTAGAAATAATATGTATTTCATGAAGTTAAATTAAATGGCATAAAAATGCCAACAGTTGTCCTAGGATTCCATCAGCATAGCTTAAGGGTCTAAAAGATAACAAGTTTCTTCTAATCAAAGTGACTTAGAGGGAAACTGAACTGTGAAACCTTAACTCAAGGGGCAGCTAGGTGATACAGTAGATACAGCCCTGGCCTTGGAGTCAAGAGGCCCCAAGTTCAAATCTAGCCTTAGATACCTGACAATTACTAGCTGTGTGACCCCAGGCATGTCACTTAACCCCCCTAACTGCCTCACCAAAAAAAACCAAACAAACCTTAACTCAGAATTGAAGGCTGAATTTTTAAACCTATGGATATATGAGCTAATTAAGAGACAAAGAAACTTGGTATAGAGTAGTTATACAAAATACAGAAAAGGCTTAATTACAGAATAAAAACAATTTTCAATTTCACAAAAGTTAGCAATAATTTATTTAAATTAATAAAAAACAATTTAAAATACTGTGCATAGGACTGATAGCTATCGGTCACACTCAAAGGCACCTACCTCTAAGAGTGACAAAAGGAACCAATCAATCAATAGACATATATTAAGTGACTAATATATGCCCAGCATTGTATTCATTTAAGGGTAAACTATATAATGTGTATACACATTGTATACACTTAAGGGTAAACTATATAATGTGTAGAACAGTGTCTTATACATTTAATAAATACTTATTATACACATTAATCAATTAAGAGAACTAAGTGCTAGATTATACAGTACAATCAGTAAGAGCTTCAGGGGTTTGGAAAATAGAATGAGCATTGTGAGCTGTTACAGTAGTCTAGAAAGACTCCACAGAAGAAGTAGGACCTAAGTTGGGCCTTAAAGGCTAGGAAAACTAAGACAGGAAGAAAACAGAGGGAAGGAAATCCTGGTCCTAACACTTCATTCAACATGTATGAATTCATGAAACAAACTTAAGTACTGTGTGCAAAACACCTACCATCTATGTGACTGACTCTAAGTGGATATTTTGTTTGTTTTTGTCCAAACTTGTCATTTTATCCACGTAGGAGTTCTCAGTAAGAAAATTTCCCTTAAATATTTTAATCTATTATTATTCAGTTGTTTCAGCTGTGTCCAACTATTGGTGATTCCATTTCGGATTTTCTCGGCAAAGGTACTGGAGTAGTTTGCCATTTCCTTCTCTAGCTCATTTTACAAATGAGGAAACTGAGGCAAACAGGGTTAAGTGACTTGCCCAGGGTCACACTGCTAGTATATCTGAGGCCACATTTAAACTCAAGAAGATGAATCTTCCTGACTCCACGCTTGGCATTCTATCCACTGTACCACCCAGCTACCTCTCTCCCACATCAAACAATTATAATATGTTTTAAAAAGCTCATAACAAATATGTATGATTAAACAAATTCTCTCATTGGCTATGTCTAAAAATTTACACCTATTCCTTTACTTTAAGTCCACCCCCCTCTCCGGCAGGAAGCAGACAGCATACTTCATCTTCTGTCCTCTGAAATCCTTATTTGTCACTGCATTGATCAGACTTCTTTTAAAGTTGTCCTTGTGTTTCTGTCACTGTATAAATGCTTCTCTTACTTCTGTTCACTTCATTCTGCATCAATTCACACAGGTCTTTCAAGTTTCTTCGGAGATTATTCATTTCATTATTTCACACCCCAAAATACTCCATTACATTCATATATCATGATGTATTTAGTCACTGCTCAATAAGTAAGCACCCCATTAGTATCCAGTATTTTGCTACTACGAAAGGCGATGCTATAAATATTTTTGTACAAATAGGTCCTTTTCCTTTTCCTGGTGTCTTTGGTATGCCTGGTGGTGATATCACTGGGTCAGTTTAGTGACTTGAGGGACACAATTCCAAATTGCTTTAGAAAATGGATAGACCAAGAAATGATGAACAGGCTAACTTCAGAAAAACCTGGAAAGACTTACATGGTCTGATGCTGAGTGAAGTGAGCAGAACCAAGAGAACTTTGTACACAATAACAGCCACATTATGCAACGACTAAGACTGTTAAACTGAACCCTTCTCAGCATTATGAGGATCTAAGACATCTCCAGAAGCCTCGGGATGGAAAATGCTGTCCACATCCAGAGAAAGAACTATGGAAGTCGAATCACTATCACTTATTTTTACCTTCTGTTGAGTTTTGTTTCATCTTTCTGATGGTTCCTCCTATTGGTTTTAATTTTTCCTTACAACTTCACTAATGTGAAAATATGTTTAATGGGTATGTAAATATAAAGCCTATATCAGATTGTGCACCATCTTGGGGAGGGTGGGGGGAGGAAGGGGGAGAAAAATTTTCAACTCAAAAGCATATGGAAGTGATTGTGGATAAATCAAAATAAATTAATAAATTTTTTTTAAAAAACGGATAGACCAACCAAAAAAGAAAAAAAAGAAAGAAAATGGATGGACTAATTCACAGTAAAAGTATGTTAGCATGTCTGCTTTCTCAGAAGCCCCTCCAACAGTTGTCAGTTTCCTCTTTTGTCATCTTTGCTAATCTAATGAGAGTGAAGTAGAACCTCACAGATGCATTAGTTTGTATTTCATTAATTACTGCAAATTATCAATGATAGCATCATGTAAATTAATTATAATTATTATTGCAAATCACTAATTACTAATAATTTGGAACATATTTTCAGCTTCGATTTCTTCCTCTGAAAACTACCTGCTCTTAGGGGCAGCTAGGTGGTACAGTGGATAGAGCACCAGCCCTGGAGTCAGGAGGACCTGAGTACAAATCCAGCCTCAGACACATAACACTCTAGCTGTGTGACTCTGGGCAAGTCACTTAACCCCAACTGCCTCACTAAAAAAAAAACAACAACAAAAAACCAAACTCCCCCCCGCCCCAAAAAAGGCCTGTTCTTACCCTCTGACCATTTATCTACTGGGAAATAGATCTTAAGTCTTATGGATCTGAATTAGTCCCTTATGTAGAAGGTATCTCAAAAGTCTTTTAAGTTAAGCTTTAACTTCTAAGTTTAAGCTTAAAATAGTTCATATGCTGAATCTGAGACCTTTCTCAGTGATACTTGCTACAAAGCCTTTTTTCCCCCTGCTACTTGTTTCTCTTCTAATTTTCACTGCATTTGGTTTTATTTGTGCAAAAACTTTAATTTCATAGTCAGAATTGTCCATTTTATGTAGTTACATAATGCATCATTTTCCAATATAACAAAATGAATCCTGCATAACAACAAAAACCAAGTGAGTCTATCAGCACTGGCAAAATTCCATAGTAATAGGCCTCAAAACTCTAGTGAGAAAAGTACACTTTATCCTCTCTTCTCTGGAACTATGATTGTTCATTGCAATTAATCTGAGTTCTGCTTCCTTTTAATGTTGTTTCTGTTTAGATCATTTTTGCCACTGTCTATATCACGCCCTTAGTTTTGATTTCTTTTCTGTGAATCAGTTCATTCAAGTATTCCAGTGTTTCTCTGAATTCCTCGTATTTGTCATTTTGTCAATAACACTGCATCACATTCATATTCCACCATTTGTTCAGTCACTCACCCAATCAATGGGCACTTGCTTTGTTCCCAGTTTTTTGCTACCATAAAAAGTGTTGGCTAGGAATATTTCTGTACATATGGGGTCTTTCTTCTGTCATTGACCTCCTTGGAGTATAAGTCCAATAGTGTATGAGCAGTTTAGTGACTTTTCTCATAATGAGTGACATAATTCTAAACTGCTTTTCAAGTGTTTGTACCAATTCATAGATCAACCAACAGAAATATTAATGTGCCTGAGTTCCCACATTACCTCCAACACAGAACACTCCATTATGATGGATAGGAGGTAAAAACCTCAAAGGTATTTAAATTTGCAATCTCTTCATTATTGGTGATTTGGAGGATTTTTTCATATGATTGTTATTTTTATTTCTTCTTCTGAAAACCGTTCACATCCTTTGACTGCTTATCTATTGGGGAATGAAATTTAGTATTTCAATTTCCTATATATCTTGGCTATCAGACTTTGTGCTGAGTCATTTTTCAGTCATGTCTGACTCTTCATAACCTCATTTGGGGTTTTCTCAGCAAAGATACCGTAGTGGTTTGCCATTTCCTTCTCAGTTCATTCTGAA